ATGGAAAAGTCAAAAATTCTTAAAATTGAAGAATTGAAATATTGAAAAATACCAAAATAGAAATATCAAAAAAATGGTAAATGGATAAATCCAAAATCGGGAAATTGAGATGTTGAAAAATTAAAAAATTGGGAAATCAAAAATCGAAAAAATAAAAAATTGACATCGAAAAATCGGAAAATCGAAACATCGAAAAGTAAAGAAATCAAGAAAAAGGAAAATTGAAAAATTGAAAAATCAAAAAATCGAAAGTTCGGAAAATGGGGAAATCAAAAAGTCGAAAATTCAGTTAATCAAAAAATATAAAAATCAAAAACAGAAAGCTTAGAAAAGAATTGAAAAATTTATAAATTGGAAAACTTAAAATCGAAAAACTGAAAAATTCCAGAAGTAACACATAAGAAATCGAAAAACTGAATAATCAAGAAATCGAACAAAAGTCGAACAATCGAAAAAAAAACACAAAAATTGACCAACCGAAAAATTGAAGAACTATTGAAAAAGTGAAAAATCGGAAAATATAGAAATCGAAACATCGAAGTGTCTAAAAATCCAGAAATTGGGAAATCGAAAAATAGAAAATTCGAAAAATTGAAAAAATGAAAAATTGACTAAACGAAAAACGGAAGAATTATTGATAAAACTGAGAAATCGAAAAATCGGAAAATCGAGACATCGGAATGTGTAGAAATCGAGAAAACGGAAAATCGAAAAATTGAAAAATCAAAAAATCGAAAGGTCGGAAAATGGAAAAATTAAAAATTCGAAAATTCAGTTAATCGAAAAATATAAAAATCATAAACAGAAAGTTTAGAAAAGAATTGAAAAATTTATAAATTGGAAAACTTAAAATCGAAAAACTGAAAAATTCCAGAAGTGAAACATAAGAAATCGAAAAACTGAATAATCAAGAAATCGAACAAAAGTCGAACAATCGAAAAAAAAACACAAAAATTGACCAACCGAAAAATTGAAGAACTATTGAAAAAGTGAAAAATCGGAAAATATAGAAATCGAAACATCGAAGTGTCTAGAAATCGAGAAATTGGGAAATCGAAATATAGAAAATTCGAAAAATTGAAAAATGAAAAATTGACTAAACGAAAAACGGAAGAATTATTGATAAAACTGAGAAATCGAAAAATCGAGAAATCAAAAGATCGAGAAGTCAAAAAATTGAAATATGGAAGTACTCAAATATTGAAAAATTCCAAAACAGAAATAACAAAAAATTGGAAAATAGACAAATCGAAAAACTGATAAATCGATGAATCGAAATCGAGAAAATTGAAACTTGACGAATCGATTATTGAAGAACTGAAAAATCGAAAAATCTGAAAATCGAAATATCGAAAGGTACAGAAATCGAGAAAAGGGAAAATCGAAAAAGTGAAAAATCAAAAAATCGAAACGTCGAAAAGTCAGTTAATCGAAAAATATAAAAATCCAAAAATTTAAAATTTAGAAAAGCTAAGAATTGAGAAATTTATAAATTGCAAAACTTAAAATCGAAAAATTTAAAAATCCCAAAAGTGAAATATGAGAAATCGAACAAAAATTGAAGAATCGAAAAATTAAAAAAATTGCAAAACTGAAACATCGAAAAATTGAAAAAACGAAAAAATTAAAATTGATAAATTAAGACATTGAAGAACTTTCGAAAAACTGAAAAAACGAAAAACTTAAAATTGACAAATTAAGAAATTGAAGAACTTTCGAAAAACTGAAAAATCGAAAACTCGATAAATCAAAACATCGAAAAGTCAGAAATTCGAAAATCTAAATATCGAAAAATTTATAAATCCATAAATCAAAATTCCAGCAAATGAGAAAAAAGAAAATAGAAAAATTTTAAAATTGGAAAATCAAAAAATCGAAAGAATGAAAATTGACGAATGGAAAAATCGAAAAATCCAAACATCTAAAAGTAGAGAAATCGAGAAAAGGGAAAATCGAAAAATTAAAAAACCAAAAAATCAAAAAGTAGAAAAATGGAGAAATCAAAAATTTGAAAAATCAGTTGGTAATCGAAAAATATAAAAATCGAAAAATTTTAAATTTAGAAAATCTAAGAATTGAAAAATTTATAAATTAGAAAACTTAAATTAAAAAAATTGAAAAATCAAAAAATTGGAGAAATCCCAAAACTTAAACATCGAAAAACTAAAAAGTCCAAAATCGAAAAAACGAAAAATTGAATAATTGACGAATCAAAAAAGTTGAAGAATTACTGAAAAACTGAAAAATAGAAAAATTTGTAAATCGAATCATCGAAAAGTCTAGAAATCGAGAAACAGGAAAATCTAAAAATCAAAAACCCGAATAATCTAAAAAATTGAAAAATTGAAGAATTATTATTACTGTAAAACTCGAAAATCGAAAAATCGGGAAACCGTAACATCGAAAAGTAGAGAAATCGAGAAAAATTGTAAAATCAAAACATCTAAAAGTCTAAAAACGAGGAAATCGAACAAAAAATTGAAAATTTAAGAATTGCAAAAATCGAAAAATTGATAAATCGAAAAATTGGAAAATTGTAACACTGAACTATTGAGAATTGAGAAAGTGTGTAATAAAAAATAGATAAATCGAAAATTTGAATAATCGAGAAATTAAAGAACCGAAAAATTTAAGAATGCCAAAACTAAAATATTGAGATATCTCAAAATTGATAAACCGATAAATTGAAAAATCGAAAAGTCAAAATCCGAAAGATCGAAATAATGAAAAATTGAAAAGTTATTGAAAAACTGAAAAATTGAACCTGCAGAAGTAGAAAAGTCGAAAAATGAAGAAATCGAAAATCCAAGAAATTCTTCAGTCATGAAATCGAAAAATCGAGAATCCGAAAATTTAGGAAGCCCAAGACTTGAAAAATTGATAAATCGAAAACTTAAAAAATCAAAACATTAAAGAACGGATAATTGAAAAACTCCACAAATAAAGAAAATGGAAAAATCGAAAGTTTGAAAACGGAGAAATGGAAGAGTCGAAATATTCTAAAATCCCAAAACTCAAATTTCGAAAAATTGAAAAATCGAGAAATTGAGAAATCGAAGAATTGAGGAAAGAAGATCCAAAATACTGAACCACCACAAAACTGAACTATGAAAAAATTGTTAGTTTTGATTTTTTCCCAAAAATTTGTAGGTATGTCCGGGATGTAAATTAAACACGGATTCATAAAGCACAAGTGGAGGAGTACGTTATTTTGTAAAATTTCATTGTTGATGGGGAAAAACAGGCAAATTTTAATTAGCGTTTTACCATCAAAATAATACTCTTAACATACATATAAAATTTGACAATAAATAGAGATGGTAGTTTCGGCTGTTATCTGTCTAACAAAAATCGTAACAGATGACAGACAAACAAACAGACGGAAACGGGAGACCAATTTTTTGGTATTCTAGGGGTCATGAAACGTTGAGAAAATCTTATGTTATTAGTGGCTCTTTTACAAATTTCAACTCATGTGACAATGGTAAAGACAGAAATCACACACCACTAATTACAGTGAAAAGTTGTTCTTCTTATAATATTTCCATTGTCGCATTTACTCCTTTTGGAAATTATGAAATTGTTAAAAAAGTTTTAAGAATTATTTTTATTGCAAACCATTTTTCAGCAATTTTCAGTAAATCAGCTTTTTTATAATGTATTTACAAACCATTACCTTTTTCTTTCAAAGACGATCTTGATTTTTCGCCACCTCGGTCTATCCAACAGCCCTTGGCCCATCAAATTGTTTGTTTTAATGACAGATTTTCTTTCTTCTTCCCATTGTTCTCTATTTTAGAGTGCTACGACTTAATTGCTTATTATATTATCCTTTATGTGGGCTCAATTACAGTATAATTTGCTACAATAGATTAGCTTTGGCTACCTAATTATATTTTGGTCACTATTGTGGTGATGGGTACTTAAAATAACTAGTACAAAATCGTGTATAAACTGCCAAATTTCTTCGTACAACGAACTTTTTCTAATAAATTCTCGTCTACTACCAAAGCGATTTATCCAACAAGCCTATAAATTATTATTTTTATAAGTTTTTTTCAAAGATGTGGATGGTAAAAATCTTCAGAGGCAACAAGTAGTGTGTTATAAGCTATGCATTTTTGCTATTCCTTTACTCAAAAAAAAAACGCTATCTTCATCGCTATCAACTTTTTTGGATCAGATTTAGATCTACATTTTTTGTTCAAAGCCACCTACCCTTTATTAGATTGGCATTAGATATTCCTTGAACAGTGGCTTTCTACGAACAAGTTTATTAATAACAGTCTTCTGGTACCTAGTTGCTATTTTCTGTTTGAACTAAGTGCAGTGAAATACGGGTTATCTTCTCAATTGAAATGACATCGTTATTACTAATCGTATAAAACGAGTTCTAACTTGAAATTGGTTTCAACTCATCACAACTACCGTAATATAGGTTCAATCCGACTGCAGTAGGTGACACACAGTAACAAACACAGCTTTACTCAAGTCGAGTTTAAACCTGCTTTATACATCCGCCGGTGTTAGAGCTCCCCGCTCAAGGTGTTAAGCGGAGTTCCTCAAGGATTTGGCTTGAAGGTTTGCTATTCACACGTTTTACTACTGACATTCACCATCTGTGCTGTTTACATGTGAAACTTTACAATTTAACTAATGACTAGAAGACCTTAATGACAAACTGCTGAAATCGTTCCAAAATTAGTTAGTTGCATTAAATACCACAAATTAAGTTACTAGACTCATGGCAACTTAGCGATAGACCTGTGGAAATTCGGGCGTTTTTGTTGTGAAGAAAAAAATCTAGTGCAGCATAATATCATCCAGAGTTGTAAACTTCTGCAGTAAAATGTTGAAGTAGTTAATTGTCTCTGGCAATATTCCAGATGTAGTTGCTAACAGTTTGAAAGTAGAACTGGATAGTTTTGGTCGGTTGACCTATTACTTGAAAGTGGTGTTTTAGCGAGCTCTTGTGTGTAAAGAGGAACAATGAAAATCTGTTGAGAATGTTATTTAAACTTTATTGATTCATTTGACACTATACTACATACATGTATTGTAATATCACGCACTATTCAGATTTAGGCAGTCTCTAATATACACCGTAGCTCAGCGACTGTATACACAACTTCGTTATACCTAACTTTAGCACTGTTTGTACATATTTACAGCTCAGTCTCGCACTGGATATGTTTTTATCACCACGTATCTTCTCCGTGTATTTTTTAATTGGATCCGCACGATCACCTCAGGCTCATACTGAATATCCATGTCATCGCGAACACGATACAGATACACCAGTTAAACTTTTCAGGGCTCTCTGCCGCGCTGAAAGCTCCCGGAGGCTCCTGGATCGGCGGAGACCCGTTCGACGACAAAGTGAACTCTCCGTCGTCGTCGTACTCTGCAACAAAATTACATTAAAGAGTAATGCGAAAAGGGTTGTTGATCTGCACGAAACGCAAACGCGATTCCTGAGTTAGGCGATGCCAGACGCCGATGCGGAATTCAAATTTTGCATTTGCGACTGTTGAAACGTTCTTTTATTAATCGTTTATGCACACAAATTGCAACATGCTCAGCATTCACATGCCAACCAATTCAAAGGGGGCAAGGCAGGTCTACCTACTCGAGCAGAGCTATCGGAAATAATGCTCCTGGAGCCATGTCCATTGCAAACAATACCGCGTTTACGGCTAGTCGGATAGTTTTCCAGCGTTCAACAACTCATAAACGGCGGTATTGTGGATGAGATGTGGAGAATTGAGCCAGATCGATATATGTGAAACTCTCTTGTCTAATCGGATTACGTCTAAATCGCAATTTCGGATTAACGGGGAAAGGACGGTATTTTTGTAAGGCAATGATTATGCAAATGCTCTCTACCATAATAAAGTTTTTGCCTGTAGCTCCCGTAATAGAATAGAGAACTAGAGCATGTTTACACAAATTATGGCAGTGGATAACCTAAGTAATTTCACTCTACCGACCACCCACATATTTTCTGTTGTATCCGAAAATACGAGCAAGAAACAATGAAAAAAATTTGTACATAAACAAGTTTACAATGTGAAGTTTATTTGTATACACGTGTATGTGCTTTCGTTTCGATAGAGCCTACGGCCATTTGAAAACCATTTTATCCATTACAGTCATTTACCTTTTATTTGCACACAAAACGTAAAATGCAGCCATATCGTTGGCAAACAGTTGATGGCTGCACAAACCCTGAATAGCATGTTCTGTTGGGTTAAGTTGTAAAGGTAATTGTTTTTGTCTCGTGTTTATTTCTCCATTTTTCGTTGGTTTGGCATTTTTGTGCAATTTCGCAAGCTTTGAAACTATTGTTTGCATTTTTCATTTTCAAAGGGTGCATTTTTTGTTCCATCTTCCTCTACTCAGTTGCCACTGAGTTAACCACCACTAAGGTTCGGATACTAAGCAACATGCATATTTTGCATATTCTGCATATTTAACAATTTTTTTTGCATTATTGCATATTTTAATGTTAAGTGCATTTTTATTTTAAAATTTTTGCGGCATTTTTCGTGGTAATTGGTGAAAATCTTAATTTTAATCCAATTTTAATACAGTTGATTATCGGAATTTGCAGGTAAATGTTATCCCGAAACTGTTGCTAAAATTAAGACACGTTTGCAATTCTAACGACCAATTAGTGATATTGTCAGACACGAAACTGCAAAGTTTTTGATAAAAATAGAAGATCTGGAAGATCAAATAAATCATCTGCCAGAAATTAACCACAAATTAATGGATCCGTCAATGATCTTGTTACGAAATAAACCCATACGCCGCCCCGGTACGACGCCTATGGGTTTTCTAGTATGTGCGTCGATGATGAGTAACTCATCGTGGGTGACGATGGCCGAGCGGCATTCGCTAAAAAAAAGCCTTTAAGCCGAAATCGGGATGGCTATTCCAGAAAGACCTCGATCATGAAACCTCTAGAAGGACAGTACGGGTTTTAATACAGACCACCTTCGGCAACGATTATGATTCAGTTGGTTCAGTCAAGAGAGTCCAATTAAGTAACGCCGGAATTATTCCCAAACAAATTGGGATGATTTTTACAAAATCGGGAACATAGGTTACGCTTTTGAATATTTCATAAATACTTTTCACTATTATTTCGATATATACTTTCCTAGAAAATTATATTTTTAGAATACTCTTCACAAAATTGGATAAATAATGACGTGAAGCTACCCAGCCTGAAACTTAAAGATCTTTATATTCGCAAATGTACAAACCCTGAGTTAATTGAAATCTACAAATAGGCAAAAAAATCACATTAAACTTATAGCATCAAACAAAAAAAAAAAAAAAATCCAGACAGAATCTGTATGTCGAAAGATAAGACCAAGATGAAAGAAAAGACTGCCCCAAAATTATGAATCTGGAAGCCATTGAAGACTGTGTGAAACTGACCAAAGAAATCCCAGCATGTGATAATCATATATCTAATATTAAGAAAATGCCTGTTTATTAAATAATGCTAAAAATATTTACAAATGGTTGTATTCTATCTTTTCTCAATAAATAACATAACATTAAGACGTGTTTTATTAAACGCAAAAAAACTGTCAGGTGTGGGATTCGAACCCACGCTCCCTTTCGGGAATCAGAGCTAAAATCTAACGCCTTAGTCCACGCGGCCAACCTGACTACATTTAAATGATTAGTTTATAAATAGTACTTTCCAAGATAAGACTGATTTTGGCAGATGACATACCCTCTAAAGAAAGATAGGGTGGGTGGGCGGGGATAGTACTTACCAAGTTAAGACTGACATTTCCAAATAACATACCCTCTGGAGCTGGCTGACGGACTCGATTACAATAAAAACGTATTTTTTTTTCAGGTTTCATTATAAAAAATAAAGTTTAAGAACATCTGAACAACTGTTTGGTTTTTCTGATATTTTTCTAGATAAATAGTTGAAGTCGATATGTCTTTAATCCGAACAAAAACTCAGCAATCCGAACTGAACTTGAAAGCATGCACCTACTTGCAAAAATGACGCAAGATCTTCTAGTAGCCCCGCCCACCCACCCTTTATTTTCTTTGAAGAGTGGGTCATCTGCCAAAATTAGTCTTATTCTAACAAGTGCTTGCCCCGCCCACCCACTCTTGTTTTCTTACAGGATATGTCATTTGCAAAAATCAGTCTCATACTTTCGAAGATAAGACTAATTTTTGCAGACGACCTATTCTTTATTTTCTTAGAAGAGTAGGTCATTTGCCAAAATGAGTCTTATTTTGACAAATACTAGCCCGGCCCACCCGCCTTTCAGTTTCTTAGAGGGTAGGTTATTTGGTAAATGCTAGCCCCACCCACCCTCCTTTTGTTTTCTTAAGAGAATAGATCATCTGCCAAAATCAGTCTTATCGTAATGAATACTACTAGATTCTTCAGTTTTTCGATCTTTCAACTTTCGAATTTTTCAATTTCTTATGTATATGTCTTTAATCCGAACAAAAACTCAGCAATCCGAACTGAACTTGAAAGCATGCACCTACTTGCAAAAATGACGCAAGATCTTCTACTAGCCCCGCCCACCCACCCTTTATTTTCTTTGAAGAGTGGGTCATCTGCCAAAATTAGTCTTATTCTAACAAGTACTAGCCCCGCCCACCCACCCTTGTTTTCTTACAGGATATGTTATTTGCAAAAATCAGTCTCATACTTTCGAAGATAAGACTAATTTTTGCAGACGACCTATTCTTTATTTTCTTAGAAGAGTAGGTCATTTGCCAAAATGAGTCTTATTTTGACAAATACTAGCCCGGCCCACCCGCCTTTCAGTTTCTTAGAGGGTAGGTTATTTGGTAAATGCTAGCCCCACCCACCCTCCTTTTGTTTTCTTAAGAGAATAGATCATCTGCCAAAATCAGTCTTATCGTAATGAATACTACTAGATTCTTCAGTTTTTCGATCTTTCAACTTTCGAATTTTTCAATTTCTTATGTATATGTCTTTAATCCGAACAAAAACTCAGCAATCCGAACTGAACTTGAAAGCATGCACCTACTTGCAAAAATGACGCAAGATCTTCTACTAGCCCCGCCCACCCACCCTTTATTTTCTTTGAAGAGTGGGTCATCTGCCAAAATTAGTCTTATTCTAACAAGTACTAGCCCCGCCCACCCACCCTTGTTTTCTTACAGGATATGTTATTTGCAAAAATCAGTCTGATAATTGCGAAGATAAGACTAATTTTTGCAGACGACCTATTCTTTATTTTCTTAGAAGAGTAGGTCATTTGCCAAAATGAGTCTTATTTTGACAAATACTAGCCCGGCCCACCCGCCTTTCAGTTTCTTAGAGGGTAGGTTATTTGGTAAATGCTAGCCCCACCCACCCTCCTTTTGTTTTCTTAAGAGAATAGATCATCTGCCAAAATCAGTCTTATCGTAATGAATACTACTAGATTCTTCAGTTTTTCGATCTTTCAACTTTCGAATTTTTCAATTTCTTATGTATATGTCTTTAATCCGAACAAAAACTCAGCAATCCGAACTGAACTTGAAAGCATGCAACTACTTGCAAAAATGACGCAAGATCTACTAGCCCCGCCCACCCACCCTTTATTTTCTTTGAAGAGTGGGTCATCTGCCAAAATTAGTCTTATTCTAACAAGCACTAGCCCCGCCCACCCACCTTTGTTTTCTTACAGGATATGTCATTTGCAAAAATCAGTCTGATACTTGCGAAGATAAGACTAATTTTTGCAGACGACCTATTCTTTATTTTCTTAGAAGAGTAGGTCATTTGCCAAAATGAGTCTTATTTTGACAAATACTAGCCCGGCCCACCCGCCTTTCAGTTTCTTAGAGGGTAGGTTATTTGGTAAATGCTAGCCCCACCCACCCTCCTTTTGTTTTCTTAAGAGAGTAGATCATTTGCACAAAATCAGTCTTATCGTAGTGAATACTACTAGATTCTTCAGTTTTTCGATCTTTCAACTTTTGAATTTTTCAATTTCTCACTTTTTAAATTTTCAATTTTTTGACCTGTCTTTCGATTTTTTAATTTTGCAATTTTGGCAGTTTTCCGAATTCTCAATTATTTAATTTTTAAAAATATCGAGAAAATAGATGTTTATTTTTTAAATTTTCGATTTTTGATTTTTTGTCACCGAGTTTTTGGAAGGAAGTAAACAGTAATTTTGATCAGCGACTTGCCATGTTTACCGTAACTTTAAAACATCTGAAAATTTTGTTTCTAATTTTCAATTTTTCAATTTTTGGATTTTTCACAAGCTTCTGGCTGAGATAAGAAGATGAAATGAAAGACTGCCCCAAAATTGTGAATCCGGAAGCCATTGAAGACTGTGTGAAACTGACCAAAGAAATCCCAGCATGTGATAATCATATATCTAA